CTGTTAGAACAGAATATGGAGAAACAGAATGGTTCCCAATTGGAAAGGGGTCAGGCGAGGCTACCTTTTATCATCCTTTTTGTTCAAGTTGTATGTAGAAAATATCACACAAAGAGCAGGTTTAGACTCAGAAGAATGAGGAGTGAAGATAGGAGGAAGGAACATAAACAACCTAGGTCCAAAACACCTGGAAGACCTAAGTTTGGGAACCACAGAGCTAGACTTTTCCTTCCTTAAGAAATTGTAGTTAGACACATCTTCATGCATGTCTCCTCCTTGGTCCCATATGGAACTGTTTGGTCATTGATCTCGTAATATACTATTAATAGAAAGTTATGAAAACAGAACATTAACAGAGATAATTTTAATTTCCTCTTTGTTTACCTTTTTATCACCTGTTTGTTTTAAGAAATAACCTTCTTCCTGATTAAAGTCCGTCGCCAACTGCGCAATACACCTAGTGCAGGCTTCCTTTTCCTACTATGCAAAATGCATCCAGCTGCACCTTAGACTTGTACCTGCCCTGCCAGGAAAAGAAGGGCTGAGCTTTCCTTTCCTTGTTTATCTCTTGCAATGGGGGGGAAGGAAAGCTTTCTCAAGACTCCTGCCCTGTTTAAAGATTAAACTTCTGTGATCTCTTTGGAAAAGGCAAGGTCTCTAGGTGAAGCTGCCACTCCATGCTGGACCTTGGACTTCATACATTTAAGGAGCCATGAAGAAGGAGAAGGAAGGTAAGCCGGAGAAGAGAGGGGGCCTAGGGATAGTCCCAAATGGGTATGTTTTGGATTCCCCAAGCAAGGACTTTTGTTGAGATTGCATGGTCTTTGGGAAGGATCGGTTGAAGCTGGACTGTGGTTGTTCTAATCTAAAATTTTGGTAAACAGAGGAATTTCAGCTGCAGTTCTAAGATAAGTGTAGACTTCAGGGGAATTCCAAAGGTCATCTAGTCTAATACTACCCCATAAACTAGTCCAACTTTTGCCAGCCATCTAAATATTGGAATTTCCTAGGAATGAAATCATCAACCCTGCTCTCTTGGCTGTTTTTGTGAAACGAGTCTCTTGTTTCTGTGATTTAGATCATGCAAACAGAAATCCTCATCAGAGAAGTGTAATTTGAAGCCATTACTTTTTAAAAAAGTGAAACACCCATGACAGCTTGGCACGGAGCAACATTTATGTTGCTTCGTACGGTTATTGATACAGTGCCAGCATGGTGGAAGATGTTGCGGAGACCCTGCAGAGAAGTAGGCTGCCACCTTTTCTTCTAGCAATGCACCTATGCATTTGACAAAAATGGTTGGTCCCCCACATCAGGCAGCTTAGCAAGTAGTGCTTTATCTTGTCACCTTCCTGCACCCATATACATAGGTGCATCATCCAATGCCTTTATAAAGATATTGGAAAATACTGGCCCAGGACAAGACCCACTTGGCATGTCTATATGGGATGAAGAGGAACCATTGATAAGTATTTTTTGGGCTTAGTAGCAGTTGAAGTAAGCCAAGGACAAAAGGGGAAAGTAGAAGGAGGAGTGAGAAACTAGGACATTTTAAAAGCAAATGTGAAAGTGGGAAGGCAGAGGATTTACCCAGGTTGCCATGCCCAATCAGGAAAACTGGAGAAGAAGAAGAACTTATAGTCTCTTCTGGAAAGGAGACTTCAGTAGGGACTTGTACCTGTGGATAGACACAGCAATGATTCACCAGAAAGTCAAGTTTCTACTCTGGCCAGGTCCTCAGCCTAAAAATGGACTGTGTAATAAGTGTTGGATTAACCCAAAACGTTTGAAGGAGGCCAAGGCAAAGCTGCCTGTTTTGTTGCGGTTCATTGTCTTATGAACAAAGTATTTTGCAAAGGGTGACACATGGTTTGAGGTCAGGTTGTCCAACGTTGCTGAGTTAGCACCAATTTTGCTGCCTGAAGCAGAGTGGTCTCCCAACTCCAGCCATGCTATTTTGGGGGGCATGAGGCAGACATTTTACAAGCAAATCCCACTAGTGTCCTTCCCCTTCAATGCCGATAAAAGAAAATGATAATAAGAAATCTTATCTTTCTTTTTGCAGGACTGCGGGACACCACAGAGTTAACTGTGTAAGTGCCAAATTGGGCTATTATTCTCTCAAACTATGGAGATCTTTCTGTGCCACTCCCAGCATCCCAAAGCAGTTTACCATCCTTCAATAATAAAACCCTTCAAATAATAATTTTAAAAAATCGAGGAAATAAAACAATGGTAAAACAAGACAACGTTTAATTAAAGTTACTAAGACTTTAATGAGGCAATGGATTAAATAATGGATTGAGTGAGTGATCAGGGGAACATACAGAGCAAATTTTGCTCCTGTGCTGAAGATTAACCAATGGGATATTTTTCATTTTCCTCTTTGGTTTCCCCCCCATGATATCAGGCAGTGTATGTACAAGTGAACACACACAGAGACCAGTTTAGAAAATCAGATTTGCACGGTGGGCTGATGATTAATCATGCAATCCGGTCTGGATTGTGTGCAAATGTCTTTTCATTTTAAACCTGCGGATGCAATGCTTCAAATGGGTATTGGAAACTGTGAAAGTGATTCCCTCCAGATCGTAATCGGTGCGAGAGGTGAGGGAAGCTTTGAGAGTTTCATAGGTTTAGGTGAGTAAGGTGACCCTTTCCTCTTGTTCTTGGCATTACAGGAAATTTGAATTTAACCCAAAAGATGGGATTGATAACCCAGTCCTGTCGCTGGCGGAGGATGCAGGTAATAATAGGAAAATGTGGTGACTGCGTGGGTGGACAAGGAAGGACCAGATATTTTTCTTGCATGGGGTTTGCAAAGAGGCAGGGATGCTCCTTTTTCCAAATCAGAGACCTGAGTTCAGCTGAGATTTTCCCCTTGTCCAAGATTTCCTTGTTTTCCTGCACTGGCTTCATCCTTCTTCTCTTGGGAGCTTATCGCATTACCTTTTAATATGACATCAGCCTACTGGGATGCAGCCAGGATGCGGCATGGAAGTGGGAATCTTTGATGGAATCTCTCATCTTGCCTTTTGCAGAACCAGAGGAGGATTCTCAGCTCCGTTTCTGCTTTCTGAAGAAAGAAGATGGCGAAAGCTTTGGATTCTGGTTGCGTCAAGAAGTGGGCAAGAGTGGGCACATTGTGCGGCGGGTGATGCCAGGAGGCTTGGCCCACCGGAGAGGACTGAGGAACGGTGACCGAATCCTTGAGGTGAATGGGGTCTATGTTGAAGGCATGGAGCATTTTAGGGTAAGCCTTTAAGACAGGAGTGGGTGCAATGATACCAGGGTCCCGATCCACTCATTTCCCAGGCTAGGCAGGGCTTCGGGGTCTGTCAATCAGAGTTTCATTATACTACTCAAAAGCCAGCATGGTGCAGTGGTTTGAGCTTTGGACTAGGATTCTGAAGACCAGGGTTCGAATCCTGGCTTGGCCATATAAACCTACCTTGGGCAAGGCACAGTCTCTCAGCCTCAGAGGATGGCAATGGCAAACCCCCTGTGAAGAAACTTGTCAAGAAACTCCATGATAGATCCAACTTAGGGTTGCCATATGTTGGAAATGAACTTAAAGGCTCCATCCTATGGAATGCTGGGATTGGTAGTTTGGTGAGGATCTGTTTGAGAGTTCCACTCCATTGCCCTGAACTGCAGCCAACTAATTCTAAGTCCCTCACCCAACTATAAGTTCCAAGGTTCTACAGGATGGCACTGTGACAATTAAAGTGGTATTAACATACTATAGATATATAGTGCAGATAGGTTCTGTGATATTTGCTATCTCAGTGAGATTGGTCCACCGCACAGGTTGAAAAGATTATGAGAGTCTAAACTTTAAACTAGAGAGCCAGTGCGGCATTGCAGTTTGAGTGTTGGACTATGATCCTGGAGACCAGGATTCGAATCCCAGCTCAGGCATGCAATCCCACTGGATGACCTTGGGCAGGTTACACTCTCTCCACCTCAGAGGATGGCAATGGCAAACCTCCTCCGAACAGATCTTGCCAAGTAAACCCCATGATAGGTTTGCCATAGGGTCGCCATAAGTCGGAAACAACTTGAAGGTACACAACAACTATATAATGTGCATACACCTTAGGGTTTCCATAAGTTGGAAATGACTCAAAGGCACACAGCAACAAAATGTTAGACTAGCTAGAGAACTGCGGGAATTGGGGTCCAAAGAAGAAAGAAACTTTCCCAAGCTTTGGGTTCCAGAAGATCTTCCTTCCAAGGCTGCTTCTCTCTCCATTCTTTCTCTCTTACAGGTAGTTTGGAAGATCAAGAGCAGCGGGAAACAAGTTTCACTCACCGTTCTGGATGGCAATGCCTATGAACTGGCAAAAGCCCTCAACCGGGACTTAGCCCAGCTCCTGCCCCATCACCACCAGCCACGGCTCTGCTGCATCACCAAGGCCCAAAGTGGCTTTGGCTTCAGCGTTTCCGCTCCTGAAGGTTAGCCCACCTTTCTCACCGATGCTAAAATAAAACACATCCCACAAAGGGGGGGGGGAACAGTACTCTGCACTCATGCATTGGGCAACTTAGGGCTGGTTGCATGAGATGTGTAATTTGTGTAATCATAATTTTTACATGGTTTATTGTGCTTCTCAGATTCTGATTTGAAATGTATTTATTGCAAAGGGTGGGATAAAGGGGAATCATTTAAGAAAGAAGGGACTGGAGTTCACTGGGTATGGAAAGTCATAGGCAAGGAAAGCGGGTTGCAGATCCATTCTGCAAGGCCTATCTGTACAACAGATAATAAAGTTTGATTGTTGATAACTGTCCTCAAGTCAACATCGATTCATGGTGACCCTGTGGATGAGACTTTTCCAAGACCTCCTGTTCTCCACTGCTCTGCTCAGGTCCTGCAAATTCATTCCTATGACCTCCATAATAGAGTCCATCCATCTTGCGTGCGGCCTTCCTCTCTTTCTACTTCCCTCCACTTTTCCAAGCATTATTGTCTTTTCCAATCAGTTGGACCTTCTCATGATGTGGCCAAAGCATGATAGCCTCAATTTGATCTCCTTGGTTTCCAGGGAAATTTCTGGCTTTATCTACCCAAGAACCCACTTGTTTGTCTCTTTGGTCATCCACAATATCCTCCAGCACCACATCTCAAAGGAGTTGATTTTCATCTTATCCAATTTCTTCACTGCCCAACTCTCACATCTGTACATGGTGATGGGGAATACAATGGCTTGGATGAGTCTAACTTTAGTTCTCAATTATATTTAGTTCTTTGCTCTTTAAGATCTTATCTAGTTTTTTCATGGTTGCCCTTCCCATTCCTAGTCTTCTTCTGATTTCTTGACCGCAGTCTCCATTCTGATCAATGTTTGATCCAAGGTACTGGAACGCTTTAACTATTTCCATTTCCTCATTGTCTAGACCGAACTCATTAGCTATTTCAATTTCTGCATTGTCTAGACTGAATTTATGTAGGTCCTCCGTGGTCATTATTTTTCTTTTCTTTACGTTCAGCAACATGGTAATGGGGAATACAATGGCTTGGGCGATTCTAACTTTAGTGCTCAATTGTATATCTTTGCTCTTTAAGATCTTTTCTAGCTCTTTCATGCTTTTACACTTTCTGCCTTGACCTTCCTCAGTAATTGTTCCAAGTCGATAGTGTTTTCCACGGCTCAGAGAATATTCCTGGCTTTCCAGTCAACAATCCTGGGAATTGTAGCTTTGCAAGTTTCCTGTGTCAGTTTTTTTTT